TGTATCCTTAACATTTTAAAATGTTCAAAAAAAGTGTTTTGTTTTGTTTTTGATTCTAGTGTTTAGTGTTTGTTGTTGTTGTTTGTTTTTTGTTACTTTGTGTTTTGGTACTGGGAATTGATCTTAGGGGCTCTTTCCCACTGAACTACATTCCAGTCCTTTTTTTTTTTTTTTTTTGCAACAAGGTCTCACTAAATTGCAGAGGGTCTCACCTAGAAAGTAATAAGTTTCTTTTTCTTTTTTGATACTGGGGATTTAGGGGCACTTTACCTCTGAGCTACATCCCAGTCTATCTATCTATCTATCTATCTATCTATCTATATATATATATTTTAGACTAATATTTTTTAATATTAATAATTTTATAGTGACATAACTTACTATGGAAAGTTTGAGTCAGTCTTCTCTAGTGTACAGTGTATTCTTTTGCCTTTATATTTGTGTCTTCCTTTGTTTTAGCAGTTTTCCTGAATTATATTTTAAAATATTTATTCCATACAGTTGTGTGTCCAAAATGAATTTTCCTTTGCATGCTATATCTGTCATTTTCTCTCTAATCCTAATCTCTCTTTTTTTAAACCTTGCTTTTCTCATTACTGGCCTCTCTTTCCCTTCTTTTATTTTGCAGTATCTGTTTACTACTATCCTTGTCTCTAATTTATCTTACCTCTCTGTTATTCATTTTTCCCTCTCCTTTTTCCCTTGATGTGCTACTTCTTAATCTCTCTCTGGGGATGAGGTGGGATTCTAAAGCAAGTTTATTTCTGTAGAAAGGGCATGTTTTGTGTTTGTGCACAGGGAAGAGGAAGAGGAAACCTAGGTATTCAGCCTCTTTTTTTCCCCCTTCTCAGAACCCAGTCTCTAAGTTTTCAGCAACATCATGCAGTGCTTTAGCATTCTTACTGGGGACCAGAGATGTTAGGATCATGAAGTGTCAGACTGGTCAACAATTGTTTAAAGTCATCCAGGCTTCATGGTGGAGATGACAGATTTCCAGGTCCAAGAGATGACCTGTTGTTGGTGAGGGGTCCTGATTGAAGTTGAGCAAGAGACCAATCTTGTGCTGGGGCAGCCACAGAAAGACCTGGTGCAGTGTTATATTCTTCGTTAATTGTGTGGCTGCTTTACCCCACACCTGGGCCTGGAGCTCCAAACGTTGCCACAACAGGCTTTGGTTGGTCACTGAATGGCAGAAAAACTTCTTGGTTGTTGAGACTGTTCAGAGGTCACTTACATCAATGGCCTCAGGGGGTGGGATGGAGAAGAAGGTACCCTCAAACAGTGGATAGTTTCTTGTGGGCTCCATGGGCCTGGGACTAGAGTATAGGCTCTGGAGAGATTTAAAAGCAACCCACATGGGGACACATCTCCTCAGCTTTGCTGTCTCTTCTTATATCTGCTCCAGGATAACATTTTCCTGATGTTTTGCTAGAATTGTATATATTCCTGTTATTAGCCTCCTTTTATCTGAAAGTATTTTTGTTTAGATGAGAGCCTAGATTTCTAGTATAGTCTCACAGCCTGCTAGTTGGGTTTATATAATTCTTTGCTTGGAAGAAGACTTCCTGCAAATGCAGTGTGTGTGTCTGCTTCTTTCTATAGCACTGCCTTTTCAGCTTTCCTTTCCTGTTCCAAAGTAGGTCTGGGTTACTTCTTCTGCCATGCTCTTGACCAGCTTCTATATCTGCATTTGCCTATGTATGTATGTATGTATGTATGTATCTATCTATCTATCTATCTATCCTTGCACTTCAGGATATGCCTATCATGTCACCTCTTTCAGGATATATATTTAAATTGTCATATTTCTGTTTTTTTGTTGTTGCTGGTGGTGATGTTTTTTTGTTTGTTTGTTTGTTTGGTTTTCTTTTACGGTGCTGTGGATCAAACTTAGGGCTTTGCACATGCTAGGCAAGTGCAGTACCACTGAGCTATATTCCCAGCTCCCTTTACTGACACTTTCTAAGATCTTTAGGATTCTTTTGTCTTTGATCTCCTTCTGACTACATGCTTTCTTTCTTGGATGCTTTGGGTAGTGCTTTTGTATATTGTGGTCTCTGGATTTTCTCTGGATCTAAGTTTCAGTGAAAATCGGGTTTGTGGAATTTGGTTGTTCGTGGCTTTTGGATGAATTCCAGTAAGTGGGGAAATGTTGACTTATGTAGGATGTTTGTATGAGAAATCCTATTTTACTATTTAAAAATTGCATTCCATATCCTTTGCTCTGAAAATTCTACCTAAATTTTTAAGGCACTAAGAAAGCTATGGAAGATGACCTATGTATTGGGAAATGTAAAGATGAGAATAGCATTAAAGGCATTTAATATTTGTAGACCAGCCAGCCCAGGAAAATAAAGGCTGTGTGAAGGGTTGTAGTTAAAGGGTGAGAACTAAAAGGGTTCGGGAGCTGAACAAAAGATAACCAGTTGACTTTGGACCATAGTTCACTGTCGTTAGTGCTCATTTCTTAAGTTTCTTTCTTGCCTGTCTTTTTTTTTTTCCCCTCCTGTAGGCTATTTTGCTCCTTCCCTTCTCCCTCATTCACTATAGCCATTGTCCATGTTTGGTTGTCAGCAGTTTATTATTCAGCTGTTTTTCATAGGGATCTTAAATATTGCTTTAAAAAAGTTACTGTGAGGGCTGGGGTTGTGGCTCAGCGTAGAGCACTCATCTAGCACGTGTGAAGCACTGGGTTCGATCCTCAGCACCACATAAAAATAAATAAAATAAAGGTATAGTTTCCAACTACAATTTAAAAACAATTCTTTAAAGTTACTGTGAACAAGATTTGTATGTTAATTTTTAAAAATCTGATCCTATCTTTTCTGTAAAAGAAAAAAAAGAACAGCAAGTAATTGATTATATGTTGTATATATATTGTAATTTATTACTCTAGGTCAGCTTTAATTTCAAATTAGACATTTCTGGAGAATATAAACCTTGCAACATACTCTATCATAAACTATTTTGTAGATTTCAGAAAATAATCAGGTGCTAAATATGACTCAGAATAACTTCTACTAAAAGCCAGATCTTGTGTTTGGGACACAAGATAATATGCATTTCTTATTAGGAAGACTTGTCTCTATCATTTATTTTTGTGCATTATAACTTCTCATTATTGTTTGAGATCTTCCTCCAAGGAAGCCTGCAAATAAGTGAAGAGTTTTGTTTGTCAAAATGGTGCCAGTGATACATATTAGTAGTAGTAAGAAGATACACATTTTGAGTAATTTTTCTAATAATGCTAGTTGTTTTATTCCCTACCATGTTTTTCTTCATTTATCCTTAAAGTAGAAAGTAGCATTTTTTTAAAAGAAGGAACTTAGTCTTGTAAAACTCCTTAGAAATAGTCTGAATTTCCTAAGTTTGAGCTCTCAGATATTATGTGATATTGCAAGAAGAATCTAGGAACATAAATAGCAAAACCTTTCTTACCTCCCTCTTTATGTTGTATTTCTATTTCAATTATAATTTATTCTGAATGGAAGACTACAGAGATTCATGTTGTATTAGAGAACTAATCTATTTGTCCTAATTTTGCGTATGGATGAAACCTCAACTCCTTAACATAGGTTAGTTATACCACTTATTTGTGGCCCATTTTACTTAGTATTTTTTTCTTTGTATCTATTTTAGATTTTGTGTGTGTGTTTTTCCTTTTCAGATTTATAAATTGATAAGTAAAACAAAATAAGTAAAATGCAACCTTGAAAGAAATGTTATAGGTCTGTCTTCGACCAGAAAGGCCCACTGTCCCTTGTAATACAGAATGTTCCACCAGTTGTCTAACATTTCACATGTGGTAGAAGTGGATGTTGTTATCTTAGAAATGAAATAGGTGTATTGAGAGTTTAAAATTTTCTTATGTTGATGCCAGTTTAACACATAACACATACAGAAAACATTTAAGTTGTAAAAGAATTACCGCTTGTTAAAAAATATAACTTCTAGGGCTGGGGCTCTAGCTCAGTGGCAGATCTCTTGCGTAGCATGTATGAGGCACTTGGTTTGATCCTTAGCACCACACAAAAATAAACATAAAATAAAGGCATGCTGTCCATCTACAACTACCAAAAAAAATAATATATTAACTTCTAGACCCTATCTCTGGACATTGTAGCTTAGTTGTTCTGAAGTGAGCCCCAGGAATTAGCATTTTAACAAATATTATAATGCACATCTTCCTGAGCTTGCCCTTTAAGTAAAAACTATACAACTGAATGTTATGTGCAATAAATAAATAAAAGATAGAATTAGTTCTATCTTGTTGAAAAAGAAAAAGAAAAGCTCACATATGAACAAATTCCATATTAAAATCATTTTATGTGGCATTGTGATTTTACTCATGAAGAGGTAAGTTTCCTCTTCAGATATTTAGCATTCTAGATTTTAAGATGTAAAAACACTTTTCTTTTATGCTTAATTTTAAAAAGTGGATTTTTTTCTTTTCTTTTCTTTTTTTTTTTTTTTAAGAAGGAAGATTAGTCTTATATATCTTTGCGTTCCATACCTTTTCTAGTACCTTGAGTCTAAGAAATGGCAGGTTAGTTGTGTCAAAGTCTAGTTCCATTCAGGTTTTACAAAATTTTTTGTGTTACTTGATAATTAAAAATATACATCAAGGCATATGAAATATTTCTTTCTGTACTCTCGAAATAGATGTGAAATGAATAATTTTGGACCAAGCAACAAATTATTATTAAATAGTTACACCTGAACAGATAAATTGCAAAGGAATGGTTATTAAATCTATAGCCAAGTCCTGTTTAAGGGTTTTCATTTCTTTTTGAAAAATTTTTTTTTGTTTATTAAGACAATAAGTGTTTGTCATTTGAGTTTTTTAGAATATGTATGTGCACCACAAATTTTTGGTGACTATTTTTCCAGATGTATTAACAAGCAGAGTTTTACATAGCCTGACCTTACTTGTAACCACAGAATAATTTTTTTGGTTTTTTTTTTTTTTAAATAAGGCTTCTAATTTTTTTCTCTTTCAGTATTGTTGTCCAGACATGATAAATAACTTTTTGGGACTGGCTAAAACAGAATTTTCAAATACAGCAAATACAAATAAGACTATTGATTCAGAGAAAGGAAAATTGATCATGTTAGTTAATGACTTTTATTATGGAAAACATGAAGGAGATGCCCAGGAAGAACAGAAGACTCACACAACCTTTAAATGCTTCAGTTGCTTGAAAATTCTAAAAAATAATATTAGGTATGTAAATACTTATTTTTATTTCTATTTGAAAATTGAAATGCTACAAATATAAATGTTGTATCTTTAGGTTACATTTTCCTATGCTATTCTAGATAAACAATTTTAATACTTTCTACTATAGACAAAGGCAGACTTTTTGTTTGTTTGTTGTTGAAAAGCTTTTGTCATTTCTTGTATTTTAGAATTTGACAACAGGATCTACTTATTTGTATTTCTTTCACATTTCTTAAGATGTACAAAGTTTATTTTAACTTAAAAGAAAAAAATAAGTTCATTTTGTTTTAGCAGTGAATCTTTTAGGTAGTTTACATTTTATTTTTCTTCAGTTATAGGAGAAAGCACTTCAAAAGTGTCCAGTTTTGAACTTCTTTATGCTAATCTTAATGCTCAAAGCTTTCAATTCATATTAAGAACATTTACCTAGTGGGAAAAGTGATCTATTTTGGGGATGGGGTTACTGGGGATTGAATTCAGGGACACTCAACCACTGAGCCACATCCCCAGCCCTATTTTGTATTTTATTTAGAAATAGTGTCTCACTGAGTTGCTTAACACCTCGCTTTTGCTGAGCCTGGCTCTGAACTCGAGGTCCTCCTGCCTCAGCCTCCCAAGCCCCTAGGATGATAGGCACGTGCCACTAAGCCCAGCCAAAAGCAATGTGTTTTAAAGATATACCATTTCTAGGAGATGTGTCTGCTTTGATTTTATAATTTGACACCTTTAACAATTAGAGATTTCATTTACAATGAAATTTTGAAGAGGTGTACACAAATGTTTTAAATTTTAGAAACTTACTTTGGAATTTTTGCATTACATGACATACTGTAAAGATATCTTGTGTAAGTGAGTAACAAGAACAAAATAACAAGATTTATTGAGTGATATTTTTCATTGATTATATGGCATGACATTTATAGTATATAAGGTTATTTTCTACCATTTCATTATAAAAATTTTCAAATACTCATCAAAAATTTAAGTCTTATTGGACACTTCTACACTTACAACTTTTATTTTAGTCTTAATATTTTACTGTACTTGCTTTGTCATATTTTTCTTCCTTCAGACTATCTGACTTTTAAATTAATTTCAAAGTAAGTTGCAGATATCAGTGTACTTAGACAAGATATGTGTGTGTTTGTGTGTACAAACATACATAAATATATGTGTATATTCCATTTACTCTTTATAACTATCACCTGTAGCATTTTTAAGCACGTACTTTCACGTCTGGGCCCAGCATTTATTTGTTTTCTTGTCTTCTATGATATGCTCCTATAATAATCATTAATGGTTGCTTTATGGTAGAACTTTTTCCAAGTTCTTTCCCATATCTTATATCATATGAATTTTCTCATTGCTTTACCTCCTTTGTGACACTGTTAACTGCCATTAAGAGCTAGTGGTCCCCATTCTTTAACAAAGGGGAAGTTGTGCTTTGACATATAACACTGAAACAGTACTATAATAGAACTCTACCACCTATTTACATATATTTACCAATTTAATAGTAAAATATGTCAGAAATCATGTTAATAGATGCAATGAGGGCTGGGGTTGTGGCTCAGCGGTAGAGCGCTCGCCTAGCACCTGTGAGGCCCTGGGTTCCGTCCTCAGCACCACATACAAATAAAAATAAACAAAATGTATTGTGTCCAACTACAACTAAAAAATATATATTTAAAAAAATAGGTGCAGTGATACGCATGGAAGTGTGATTCACTGATTTAAGCTCCTTGTTCAAATTAAATATGACACATATCACAAATTATTTTAGCAACAAGTTTTTTTTTTTTTTTTTTTTTAAGATTAGCCATTTCCATTTCATATCAAACATGAGAATGGGAAATTCCTTTTTTAATTATTTCAGGAGACATAGGTCTATATTATCAGAATATTTAGAAATTTTCAGCAGGCTCCGTTTGATAACATCCAGTGATTAAGCATTTAAAATATATTGGTTATCTGATAAATGTAACCTTAAAGTAAAGTACCTCATAACCAAAATTAAATGTATTATGTAACATTGCTTTGAATTTTTCCAGTAAAGCTGGGAAGGCAAATTATTTCTCAAGGATGGTAAGAAACATACAGCTCAAGATTTCTACTCTGTTCTGTTATTATCATACTGTGATATTAGTATTTTACCCCTTACTTATCAATGAAAACAGGTATATTTCATTCTGTGAACATGATTCCAAGAAGTTTGCCCTTTTTGTTTGCCCATTTCCATCTGTTCATTTGAAAAATATGAACTCCAGATTGGGCTTAACTGATTAAAGGATTCTTTATATAAATATATTTAAGTGCTTACGATTTTGAGCTAAAAGATATTGGCTTTGCATATGTAAATACTTAACCAAGACTGGATTTTTTTGGTAGGTGTTGTAGAGCTTGTGTTAAAACCAAAGAAGAAAGATATTTTAAGGTGTATCATAACTTGCTGTAAAGAGTAGTGTGGTAGAGGTGTAAAAAAAAGAGATATATGTTATAATCTTCTTGATGATTGTAATCCAGATTAATGACATTATCATCAATGTTAATAGTTGCAAGATTATTTCTTTTAGGGCTTCAAAATGAGTAATTGTAAATAGCTGACCAGTCCAAAAATTGTTGTTTTGATTGAATAACTTTTATTTTCAAATTCAGCAAAAAGCTTCAGTAAGCTCTTCTAAATAAATATTCTCATTTATACTACACTCTCTGCTGTTGAAGGTCATAGTTCCTTTTCATAAGGAGCCTTTTAGGGAAGCTGAAATAGCAGAATGAAAAACTGAAAAATGGACCTTTCTTATAAAGGGCACAGTCTGCAAGTTAAAATGAACAGTATGTGCTAACCAGTAAGCCAGTATCATTTAAAAAAAAATTCTTGTAATTGTAGGCATTAAAATTGCTATTACATGCATTTAGAAACCAAGACACAAGTAAAAATACCAGTAATTTGTCTTTTAAGCAGCTGGAATCTATTATATGTCTTCACAGTCTTAAAAGATTTCTCTCATGACTCTAGCTGCTTTTGGTGGTAGGGTTTCCTTTCTTTCAGTGTTTTATTTTAAACTAAAAATAGTATTTAAGGTATAGAAAACAAGCCTGCTCTTTTACCTTAAATTTTTAAAAATAATCTGAAGTAATGATTGAGTTAGAAAATGAGTGATATTTTGATTATTTTGAAATAAATTTGAAAAAATTTACTGAGCCACATAGAAAAGGCAATATTTAAAATATACTCTTTTCTAGAGGACTTTTAAGACATTTTGGATTTTGAGTAATACTTGGTATTTTTTAAGATTAAGACTCAGAGACTTATTGGTGAGATTTTGTTTTTAAATCTGAATTTTTGCACCTGTTGACAATCATTTATAGGTTTATGAACCACATGAAACATCATTTGGAACTTGAGAAGCAGAGCAGTGAAAGCTGGGAAAACCACACCACCTGCCAGCACTGCTACCGTCAGTTTCCCACACCATTTCAGCTGCAGTGTCACATTGAAAGTACACATACGCCCCATGAATTTTCTAGTAAGTTACAGTTCCACTTAAATGTTGAATATTATTGAATTTGAAGATAGAAACTCTGAGAAAACCTGAGTAACTCTGTAAGAAAAATAAGAAATAGACTCTGGAATTTGGGGGCAAAATGGAAAAATTTAAAAAATTAACTTTTAGAAATTTTGAAATAAAATTCGTTATTAAAATTAAAGTCCCTCTGGCAAGTAATTCATTATAGTAATTGCCTTGGCATAATCTAGGCATTACATGTTGGGGATTCAGAAGCCTCAAATCATATATATCAAATGAGAAATTAGTGTTCTTCATTTAAACTTTAAGTAACTACGGTTGTAGTTAAAATCAGATTTTGAAGCTAAGTAGCTTGAGTTTAAATACCAGATCCTCCTTTTGCTATAGCTATAAGAATTGAGACATGAACTCTTGAAAAATGAGGATAATAGAAATGCCTTCCTCATATGCTGTTATAGGAATCAAGTGAGTTAATTTAGGTGAAGTGTTTAGGAATGTGCTTGGCAACCAGTTAACAAACTGTATGATTGATCACTGCTGCTGCTGCTGCTGCTACTACCACTATTTATATAAATTTGTAAAATAATTTTTTATATCTTAAAATGTAATACCTTTTCCCCCCTCTCACTTTTAGCCATTTGTAAAATCTGTGAATTATCATTTGAAACAGAACATGTTCTTTTACAACATATGAAGGATAATCATAAACCCGGTGAAATGCCATATATCTGCCAGGTACATACACCTTTTTATTGTGTTCTTTTAAGTGGTATGTTTGTTGTAACTACAAGATTTAAGCCCATTAAACCAGAGGTCAATACATTTTTTTCAGGAAATATTTCAGGTTTTGATGGTTTACTGTCATTGTTGGAAACAAGTAACTCTGCCATAGTAGTACAAGGGCATGTTCCAATAAAATTTTATATATAGACATTGAAATTTGATTCCATAAAACTTTCATGTGTCATAAAATATATCAGTGTTTTATTCTTTAATCATTTAGGTAAATTGGTTACCAAAATTAAAGTCCCTCTTATAAATAATTTATTAGTGGAAGGCATAACTCATTCATTATATGATGGGTAGGCAGTGGGCTGCATTTGGCCCACAGACTGTTGCTTGCTTACATCTGTGGTAGTCAAAGAAGAGCCCAGCTAGACATACAGATGGACATGTCTTACCATATAGGGAAGAATGTAGGTGTATACAAGGGAAATTTGAAATGCTGTTAGTTATAAAGAACCCTAGCAAATGTTTTGTGACCAGTATTTTTCCAGAATTTGAAGGAATAGGAAGACAAAAAAATAAAAGATTAATTGCCACTACCTTAGTGTGGGGTCCATTTACAGTCTAAAGAAGAGTGCTGTTTTTGTAGCAGAAAAAGCACTTTATAGGACAGGAGGTGCCAAAACTTGAAAATTTCAGTCAAGGTAGTGATAAATGAACAATCTGCTAAAAAGCACACAACCTGGTTATGTTTTGAGAAGAATTCTTTAATTTTGAAAGATAATTTCTGGGTTTTTTTTTTTTTTTTTTTTTTTGGTGCTTCTGTTAGTGGAATTTTTGGGTGTATAGGCATCAGCAAGACTAGTAGTACACAGTGTTCTTCTAAGCAAATGATCCATAATTTGCTTTGTAATTGCACATCAGTTATAAATTTTTGAATCAAACAAAACCTTCTTTCTATTTCTAGGTTTGCAATTATAGATCATCATCATTTTCTGATGTGGAAACTCACTTTAGAACATCCCATGAAAACACTAAGAACTTGCTGTGTCCTTTTTGCCTCAAAGTTATTAAAATTGCAACACCCTATATGCATCATTATATGAAACATCAGGTGAGATTTTCTAATTCCTGTTTGTTCATATTATCTTAATGAAAAAACAGGTTAAGTCTTGAAACACTGATTAATTTTATTCTGCAAAGGAAGCAGAGTTGTTCCAAATAACCCAATTAAATTTATAATTTATGTTGAATTATTTGTGAAACTTCCAGTTCTTTCCTTACCTCCTTTCCAGTGATGGTGTAGACCATAAATACAGACCATAAATAAAGTTGTGAAAAATGACTAGAAATAGGCAACCAAGGATTGAGTGGGGGAAAAAAAGAGAGAAGGTGAGTGAAATAAGCAAGTGGCAGATAGTTAGGGCCTAAGAGTAGATCTGGGAATGATTTTGAGGAGTTTTCAAGAAGCAGGATGGGGGGAATATTACTTTGAACTGAGAAAAAAAAGATTGTGGACACATAACCTTGTTTTCCTATTCCTTTTCAAACTTTATTTCCACTTTCTAAAGCTCTGTTATTATGAGAAAATGTGTTGTCATTGACCTAGGTTCGTCCTTCACAGCTACAAGGCAAAGGAAGCTGTTGATGGGTTGATTCTGCCAGAGAACTGTGTTTAGATCCTAACTTCTTTCCTGGATTACTTCTGCCAGTTCTGCTATGTAATTTTTGGAACTCAGCATTAGTGCTTGGAATTCTGATGTTATGCTTATTGTTTTTTTTTTTTTCCCTGAAGCAATTAAATTATCCCTGTTTGTGCTAAAAATGTTGATACAACAGTGTTTTTGTCAAAATCAGAACCTAATGGATTTATTGCACCTGATCATATAATCAGGTTTTTCCAACTCATTAAGCATTTCCGTATTATGAATTAAACTGGCACACCAATTTATTCACCATTGGTACTCACCTTGCTATGAGATGCAGTTGTTAGATAATCATGAAATCAGGTAGTAATTTTTAATTGGGAAAGATACTAAAAGTAGCATTTCCAAATGAATTTGGGATCGCCGGTGTTGTGACTGGGATACCACTCATCCTTGAGAAGTTCTGGAAAGATCTTTTATTTGATGGTCCCCCAACAATATTCCAACAGGTGTTAATAGGGGTTCTCCCAGTATTGTCACTGGTAAATAAATTTGGTAAATGCCTGGATTTAAAAAATTAAACAGTTTTGTTTGTCTGTTTTTTAAAACAGGACTTCTCAGAGCTTTTAATATGCTAATGGACATTGTAAATCTCCAAGCAAAAGATATAGTATGTATCATTTCCCAAACTTGTTTGACCACTGAACACTTTATTTGAACATACTTATTAACATTTCTTGATAAAGAGTTTGGGAAACATTGTCCTTGGTACTCTGTATTTCATCTTTAGCCTTTAATTTTAAAAGGGAGAGTAAGGTATAAACTATTTTATTTTGAGGCTTTTTAATGTAACTTTCCCCAGATGCTTTACTAAGCTCTACATTGAGTTATAGACATGAAAATAATGATAAGATGTGTGGAGCCAGTGTGTGGGGTGTACAATGTATTCTATTTATTTTTTGTGGTATAGGGCATTGAATGCAGGACTTTGCACATGCTGAGCATGTGCTACTAAGTTGTGTCACCAGCTTAGGCTATGTTATTTAAAATCAAACCTTCATGCCTGGAGTCATCTTGACTTGCCATGGGTTCCTAACTTTTTAAAATTTTTGTTTGGGTGTGCCTGGGAAGTAGATAGCCAGCAGTAAAGATAGGGCAATCTATTAGTAAGAAAGAAGGATCATCAGGCATCCTCCAATGTATTTGTAATTTGTATACTTATTTATGAAAGACTGGGAAACCTTCACTGAGTAGAATTATAAACTTTTAACAGATGACAGTATAATATCAGGTAATAAAAATTGTTGATTCTGTGCCTCATTTTATTATGTTGAAGACCTCACTTGTAATTGTTTCTTTAAAAGATTATATTGTTATGTCTTGAGTAATTCTAGAGCAAACAACCCAGTTTATATGACTTTTATGAAATAATTTAAGAATTTCTGATATATTAAAAAAGCTTATTAGATAAAACAATAAGCAGTTAACATATAGTAATCACCATATGGTATCAGGGTACTTAATCCTCACAACCTATATATGTTTTATAAATGAGGAAACAGGGTTTTAGTGAAAGTAACTTGCCTAATGTTGCATTGTCTCATAAAAGGCAAAGACAGAACATGATTTTAGAGCACTAGTTATTACTGCTGTCACGGAGTTGGATTTTACATTGGCATTAGATCTAAAGGTAGAAATTACATATAGTAAGATTTTACCCTTAAATCCCTCAAGACTCTCAAAAAATTCAGTACAGTTATTTTCCTATACTCTGAATAGATCATTATATCTTTGATTGAACATTGTTGTTATTAAAAACTGTGATACTGTATCTTCATCACCCTTAGCACATTAAAATGCATATGTATATAACATCAGAGATGTGTAAGACTTGAGTCCACCTCAGGGAATTATGGATTGATGTTTTCTGTCTCAGATTTTGGATAAATGTGCATTGAATGAAGCAGCAGTCATTTTGAACTAGTTAAATTGTAACTGCCACTCATATATTTTTCTGCATTAGTCTCTTGCTTTCTGCTTCACTATTTATTCATCCAACAAATATTTATTTAGGATGCCTTACTGTATATCAGGAACTGTTTTAGGTATTATATAGCAGTGTGATTTAATTGGTACTATAATGGAGAAAGATAATAAATTTGTGTGAATGTGTGTTTGTATATGCTGGTGATAAGTATTGTGGGTAGGAAATAAATGTGGAAAATAAGGAGTGCCAAGCACTGGGGAGGAGGGTTTGCTCTTTTATATACAGCGTGGGCATCAAAGGGCCTCTTCAAAGGAAATTAAGAAGTAAGCCATGTGGGAGAGGTAACATTATGTAGGCAATGAAGTGAGTATAAACCAGAGTTACTAATAAGATTGGCAAGGAGGCCATTGAAGCTGGAGCAGAGGTAACTAACAGAAGGATGAATTTGTAGGAGATAAGGTTGTAGCAATAGAACGCAGGCCAATTTGTGTGGACCCAGAGTCAGGACTTTGGAAAGCTCCTGGAAGGTTTTAAGTGAGAGACCTAGCATATTTCAAGAATTACCAACAACCATGGAGAGAATAGATCACAGGGCAGAAAAAGACATGAAAGGAAGATAGAAGTTTTTTTGTTTTTTTTTTAAACCATAGTCTGGGTGACTTGCCCCAGTATGGTAGCAGTGGTTGGAGGTAATGACAAATAGGAATGTTATCAGTAGTCTTGAAAGTGAAGTTGGCAGGTTTTATTAAGGTGTTAAATAGAGGGGGGCGGGGGCAGGAGGGGACACTGAGTTTTTTGTCTTAAGCATTTATAAGAATGGAGTTTTAATATTCTAAGCTATGGAGAAAATTGAGCAAGGAACAGATTTAGGATGGTAGGAGAGGGATATAGGAAACCTAGAGTTTAGTTTTGTCCATGTTGATTTGAGAAGCATATAAGATGTCAAGTAATGTTGCCAAATAAGCATTTGGGTAGGTGGTATTTAAAATCATGAAGCTGGATGAGGTAACCTAGTAAGTGATTCTAGTAAAGAGTTCTGGGAAATGAATTCTAGTGAACTTTTGTTCTGTCCTGTTGTTCTGGTATCTGTTTCTTGGCCAAGTTTTTCTCTCTTTTTTCCTCCTCTCTTTGAATACTTTATAAGTGAATTTGTGTTAAGTTGCTTATATCTATGATATAAGAGTGCACCACACTGCTAGTCTTAAGATACATCTAAAATTATTCTAACATGTTGTTCTTACATATTGCTTTGGACATTGTGAAGAACTATTTTCTATTTTTTAAAAGTTTAATTGACATATAACAATTGTACATATTTGTTGGAAATAGAGTTATAATTCAATACATGTTTACAATGTATAAGTTCAAATTAAGGTAATTATCATTTCCCTCAAACATTTTTATCATTTGTGTTGGGAACATTCACATAACTCTCTTCTAGCTCTTTATAATAATATATAAATTATTATAAACATAGTCACCCTGCCATGCTGTTGGACACTAGAACTTATTCTTCCTATCAAAGTGTTTTGTTTTCCAGTGTCTGATCTCCCTCATCCCTATCCCTGCACCCTTCCTAGCCTCTAGTGACCACTTTATATACTTCCGTGAGATCAGCTTTTTTATCTTGAATGTATGAGTGAGAACATATGATTTTTGCGGGGGGAGGGTACTGGGAATTGAACCCAAGTATACTTCACCACCGAGCTATATCCCCAGCCCTTTTCATTTTTTGAGACAGGGTCTTGCTGAGTAGCTGAGGCTGGTCTCAAACTTGAAATTCTCTTGCCTTAGCCTCCCAAATTCTGGGAATACAGGAATGAGCATTACACCCAGTTGAACATGTGATATTTGTATTTCTATGTCTGGCTTTTTTTAATGAAATGTTTGCTGTGTGCTAGTAACTTTGCTAGATACTTCTCTGTACATTACCTCAGAGAAGTATTACCTTAAATTTTATGAAGAGTTGGTTGTATTTAAAGGGAAATAGTGATGTGTCTGGCAGAGATACAGCTTTGAAGAAGATATTTTGCATGTGTTATTCTAAATTTCTATATATATAAGCATGTGTATATGAAATATATTTTTTATATTATTGAGAATAAATGTGTAAAGATTTCAGTTGATATTATACAGTAGGAAGAACACTGGATCAGGGAGTCTAGCATTGTTATTATCTAGCTATGGGAGAGGGACTTAGATTTCTCTTGGGTTCTATTTCCCATCTGTAGAATGTGATAGGACCAGGATATTAGGAGGAACTCAGGGAGTTTTCAACTGAAACATAGGTTGTGATCAGTTATATTTTATGCCTCCGTATCTATGTTGTCCAGTGTAGTAGTCACTGGCCACAATTACCTGTGTAAATTAATTAAATAAAATTTAAAAAATTTAGCTCCTCACTTTCATATGCCACGTTTCAAGTGCTCAGTAACCATTATATGGCTAGTAATTACCATGTTGAACAGCAAAGCTCTAGAGCATTTCGTTATTGCAGAAAGTTTTATTGGACAACATTGCTTTATATAACCATTTTTGTAACTTAACCTTTGAAATGTCTAGTTAGATTTACTTGAGTTTAGAGGATATAATTTACTTTACCAACTTGTCAAATGATTGAAAATAGCAAAATTTTAAAATAATTTTGACATTTTCTAAAATTAAAACATGTTTTAGCTCATTTTCATAGTATCATGTTTTTAAATAATTTAAGTTTATAATTAAAAGCTTTCATACATTTGGTGTAACTTCTATTTGAACCTGTTAATAGAACTTTTATGTTTGACTCTATATAGTAACAAATACATTTGATAGTAATATAAGTTTTAAAAATGAAATTATATTTTGGTACTATTTATGATAAGAAATAGTAAACTTTCATTAAAATTAAGTTAGAGTAGTTCCAGAACACAGAATTTTGTGGTTACAAAAGTTATTTTTCCTTTTTTCTGTTTCTCAATAGAAAAAAGGAATACATCGTTGTACAAAATGCAGACTGCAATTTTTGACATGCAAGGAGAAAATGGATCATAAGACACAGCATCATCGAACATTTATAAAACCTAAACAACTAGAAGGATTGCCTCCTGGAACAAAAGTGAGTTCAAATATGTTATATTTTAACATTTTGTATAATAAAAATTAGCTCTAACCTGGTTTTATCTATTAAATATGACTTTTTAAAAATGACTTCAGATTTTTATTGCCTAATTTTAGATTTCATTGTTTTTATGCTTAGAAAGGAAAGCTTTAACCATTGAGTTCAGTGGCGGGTACTATGTTGAAATGGCATTCCTTCATTAAAAGTGTACCTAGTTTAACTGTTCTTTGGGTCAGGGGGTTGTTTCAATTTTATATAGGCTATTTTTGAACTATTCCAGTTGGCAATGTATATGTCAGTTTTAGCAGCTAAATTCTAAGAGGCTTGATATCAGGAATCTTATTTTATTTATCTTTGTATCCCCAGTGTCTGGCATAGTGCCTTGAATGCCATAGGTTCTCAGATGTTTGTTGAAATTGTTATCATTTAGTCTACTCTCAGAGAAGCAAGTACTGCTGCTGGACAGCATTGTATTTTAAGTGAGCAAACACATGTCTGACTGCATACTGATGATTGTAATTTGCTTTTCCCTTTTTGCCTTATATACATCTGTTTTCTCTAACTTCTTTACATACAGTCAGCTCTTGAATATTTGCTCCAGTGGAGGGAAACAGAGGCATGGATAATCCAAAGTGAAATAACCCCCAAAACATTTATATTTGGCTTTGGGTACTTACCTTTGAATGTGGGTATGTCTGGTACTTGAATTAAATAAAATAATATAAAGCCATGCTCTGAAGACTTAGAGCAAGAGAAGCTATCCAGCATTCTTCCCTGCAAACCATTCATTTCATGCTGGAACTAGACATGCAGAACACTAATGTAAGCAGTGCAGTCCTCTCTCATTTTTCCCCTTAATAATAATAATAATAATATTAATGATAATGATACTAAATGTTGTTATGACATCTTAGAATGAGGCTTTCAGTGTACTTTTCATACATTGTATTATTTAATCCATACAATCATTCAGTGAGTAGAAAAGGCAAATAGTGCCCTGTATTTTAGATATGAAGAAGTTTAAAGAGGATATCTTATTTACTCAAGATTACATGGCTTGGAAGGAATAATGCGAGATTCAACCTCAGTTCTTTAGATTCCTGACCTAGTGCTTTTGTATGATACCTAAGCACATGTTTCATAGGACTTCATCATAATCTGTTCCTCACATGCATGAGGAGAGTATAGTCAAGTGATCAATGAGAATGTTGGTAGGCAATTGACCTTTCCATTGTCAACTAACAGATATAATTGAATATTTTCTATTTTGAACACTAAATGATAGATTTTGTGTTAGTTCCCTTTAAGAGAAGTCTCAATATTAAATTCTTCACACAATGCAAAAAGTTGACTTAACTCTTTCTTATAACATTTTATAAGCATAAATCCAGGGTAATGAGCCCCCGCAAAGGAGAGGTCACATTTACTATAGATCTATTTGTTTTGTAGTTATGAAAGGGTGATATCAGTAGGCCTCTCTAGAGTTATTTTTCAAGCTTTGTGAAACTTAGACCTATATATGAATTTTTTTAAATTATGTCACAGCATAAAAATAGCTATGGAATGTGCTCTTTTGATAGTCATATAATTTTTATTAACTCCTAATTACTCATTAATAACTGTATTTACACATAACTCATTTTACATTAAGTGAATAAATATCAAATTTAACTTTATTTAATTGTTTTGAACATTTGGAGTAAATAAGACTAAATACAATTGTAGTTTATGTGTACTCTTTCAAAATACTTGATGTTTAATGTTTTTTGTACAGTGATATTTTAATAGTAATATAGTGATTTTTTTTTTTTTTGAAGTAAATATATTCTGCATTCTTGTAGGTTACTATTCGAGCTTCAGTTGGACCTCTTCAGTCAGGATCTTCACCTACACCTTCCATTAATGCAAGCACTTCTACCCTTCAGCTCTCACCTCCAAGGACTAAAAATATAACTGCTAAAAATCCCACAAAATCGAATACAAGTAAACCTAATACAACCAAATCCAATGCAAGTAAACCTAATGGAAATAAGCCTAATGGAAGTAAATCTAAATACAAATCAAAAATCTCTAATATGCAAAAGAAACAAAGCACATTGGCTAATAGCAATAAAAAAATCAAAGTTAATACTGCATTGAGGAACTTAAGGTGATGTTTTATTCCTAATATACAATACCAATTTAAATTTAAGTATAAAAACATTATACTTTAGTTAATTAGAATAGTAATATGGCTCTTACTTATTACTTTTGTTTTAAAATATATTTATACCATTTTCTTTGTGTCTCCATAAGGTGTCGTCGGGGCATTCACAAGTGCATTGAGTGCTGTTCTGAAATAAAAGATTTTGCAAACCATTTTCCTACATATGTCCACTGTAGCTTTTGCAGATATAATACTAGCTGTAGTAAAGCCTATGTAAATCATATGATGAGGTAAGAAGAGTTAAACCTGTAAATTGACAACTAAAATTATAGGACAGGAAGTTTTTGTTTTGAAGCAAAGTTATCCCTATTAGAAACTAGTTTTTCTCCTCAAAGAGCCAAAAGGACCTAGCAGTAAGGAACTTCTAAGATACTATCTGATGTTATTTTCCAACATAGTAACTCAAGTAATTACTGGTCTTAAATTGTAAGAACTGTTAATTAAACTAATAAAATTAGGATAGGTTTGTTGGGGAAATAATTATTCTGTTTTTTATTTTTCCCTATAGGTATTTAAAAATGGTGATTTTCAAATAAAACTTTTAAGTGTTTTAAGCTTATTTAGCATACAAATAAATGTCCTCATTAGGAATATCCTCTTCAAATTAGTCACTTTGCAAGAAGCTGTAGTTTTGTGATGAAATCCAGTGATTACTGCTTCTGCTCATAGAGGAATAGCTGTACCTAAATTTATTGATAGTTGAAACTATTAACCTTTTATTCAACTAGTAGCTGTAGCTTTTTAATTAATAGCTAACATTATTGGAGGATTTTCAGTGATGTTAGGAACTTCATTGAATCTGGTTTTCTTTCTATGGTCCTTCATCTGTCAGGCCATCTATACATACATTTGTTCAGTGAAAAGGAGAGACTATTCTGGTTATGATGCCACTGTTGGAATTCTTTTTCATTAATTCATTTAATTTATGTTGTTTGAGTACCTATCATTTACACTATGCTAAGAAACCCCTTCAGAACCCACATTACTTTCATTTGTATTTCTTTAATAGAAGAATATTTTATTCTATCAGGATGGATTTTTATCTTTAAAAATAGTTCTTCCATTATAAATGTGATATACTGTTTATTCATAGTGAGTTTGTTCCATTTAAATAAATATTAGAATTAATGTATAACTGAGTTTCTTGGAGATCATGACATAACCTCTGTTTTACTTTCTTATCATTATCAGATACTGCTTTTCCAGAATTCTCCTACCTTTCATGGTAACTTTAGCCCTTCTCTCTCAGTTTTTCTGCCTTGATGATTGGCCTACCTCCTGGTGTCTTGGCTTCTTTAGTGCCAGCACTTCACACCAGCTTTTAAGTTTTGGGTCCTCTTCATTTTTAGTCTCATCCTATATACTCTTCATTCCTTCTGAATTCTTATTACTCCATGATGTTCAGAGTTTTGACTCTTTTTGCCAGGCTAGCAGCATTCATTTAACTTTAGAGTCATCGTGGTCCTCTGTTTCGAATCCTGTTCTTTTCTTTGTCCTCTACATTTTTATGCATGCTCACCTAGCATAAAAGCCAGTTTAAGATTTCAGCCTCTTCCCCTTTCCATCTTTATGTATGCTCAATTCTAGAATACAAGAGTTTATTTATTCATTCTGACTTATAATCTTTAACTTTGATTAAGACCTATCTCTTTATTTTTCTTTTTAAAGACCTCCTTATTTTTACCTAAGTGTTTGTTTAATCCTTTTTTCAGTACCCTAAAGATTTTATTTTCATCTTTTAGTTGTTAACCCAACTTATTAATTGCTCGATTGAAGGTCATCTTTTTCATTTTTCCTAAAAGCTAGCTCTTTTCAACTCCACATATTTTTCTTCATCCAGATATTAATCTCAGAAATTAAGCTTGTCCCATTTCTCCATAGCCAATTCTATCTCTTATCTCCTTCAATTCATCATAACCTAATTCAGTTAACTTGTATCTTCATCCCTATCTCACTATTGGACTTCTTCTGCTTATAAACACTTTCAGGGTTTTGTTTCTTTAATTTTAGGATGAAGGAGCTATGTCCTTCCTGAGGATGAAGGAGCTATGTCCTTCCTGCGTATTTTCTTTATTTCTTGTCTGCCTTTTTCCATCAACGTTTTTCAAAATGTTTGTTGCCAGCTTAATTGTGACTCATTTCTTTACCCTTTTGAGTATCATCCCTACCTATCAACTAACACTGCCCCTTTAAAGATTATTGTGTCATGTACTTATCACCACACTTTTCCTCTTTTTTCATTCTTTACTCCTTAACTTTATTTTTAACATTGTTGCCACTCACTTTTGAAACGTTTCTCTTTAGTCTCTATTAAGCTGTTAATACCATTTTTCTTCTTTTTAGGTAACACCTCTTTCATTGCCTGTCTCCAACTGTTTATAGTCCCTTTCTTAGTAAGTTTAGTACTTGCACTTTCAGCTTTCAACTTGAAATCTTAGAATTTCAATCTTTTGTTTTTCTGAGATCCAAATATGTGTTCTAATTATTTTGTAGATGCTTTTACCCTAGACCCACTGGCATCTCAATAGAACAACAACAACAACAACAACAAAAAAAAAAACGCCAAATATTATTATCTGTCTCAGATTCACATTACTACCATCCTAACTTTTTAAGTTCCATCTCTTTCAGGGCACCATTTTGTGTGAATGTTTAGCTCCAGCTAGAAATAATTTACTGTTCCAAGTTTCTGAAACTCAAGAAGTTCTTTTGATTCACTGTGCATCATGGCTTCCTGAGACTGCCTCCCAACCACTGCAGTATCTGATACTCCTATTGCTCTAAACCAGGCCCCATCATCTTTTCCCCTAGTATACTTCTGGGTGGAATGCTAATCTCTTATTCTGCTCAAAACACAAAGCTACCTAAGGATGTCTTTTATTTTGCCCTTAATTTCTAAAGGATCAAATTGGAAAGTATTTTGTGTTTCTTAAACTAAGGTTTATTCTGGCCTTCCTTTTTCCATTTATCATAGGTTTCCTTCCTGTCCTGAAGAACTTCCAAATCCATTATATCTCCAACCATTTGCAGTTGGCTCAAGACATTCTTCTTACCCTTTTCCAAACCACCCAAACCTACATTTCATTGTCATCACATATACTCCTTATTCATTGTTAGCTCCTTCTCCTTTTTTTTTTTTGTTTTGTTTTTCCTTCATTGATACTGTCATTTCCCTTTGCCTTCTCACTGAGTAGCACACCCTTATTTCTACTTACTGCAGATACTTGATCTAGGTTTGAAGTTTTTATGAAGGGAAGCTTCATTTCTCCAAAAGATGTGTACATTCAGTTCTTACCCTATACCATACCAACTCTGTAGCCTTTCAAGTAGTCTTTTTCTTTCTGGTCTCATACCTGCCCAGTCTCTTCTATAAAGAGAGACTCTGATCCTCATAAGTTGGCTAATCTTTTCTAAAGTATTTTTCTTCCCATACTTATTTTATATAGTAGTTTTTTCTTATTCTTTATTAGTCCCCATGACACCCTGTCCTTCCCTCCCAGTTAATCTTTCAAATGTCTGGTCAGTTCTTTTGAATTGTGTACCATTCATCTGATCTGCCTTTCATTTTATTTGTGTATGTAGAATCTCCTTGAGAAGTGATCTTTGTATTTATTATATCACTTACTACATTATAAACTATAAATGATAGTTATTATTTATAATTAAAAGAGGCCCCAAACATAATTTCAAAGAAGAGATTAAAAAATCTTGAAGCTGTTGAAACATCTTTAAAGTCAGACTCTTTGAAGGAAACAGATCATTAACTTCATAATTATAAATTATTTTTTAAAAATAGTATTATTGGGGTCAGTTATTTAAATTATTGTACTTTGCTAATAGCTTGTAAGTGGTAATAAAAATCACCTGAGAAAGTGAAAATTAACTACTATATAATATTACTGTTATTCCTTAAAAAGATATATGAGACAACTTTTTCTTCTACATGTAAGAGAATTAAGTTAATGGACATTACTAATATCTCTTTTTAATAGTATTTATATCACCCAGATTCATTTTCACAAATACTGATTATTACATACTAGGAAGGTACAGTTTGTGTTTTAGTCAAAAGACCTGACAAGAATAATTAGAGAAGGAAAAGTTTATTTTGGAGCTCATAGTTTTAGAGGTCTCCGTCTGTAGATGGTTGACTCCATGGGCCTGGGCCTGAGATGAGGCAGAATATCATGGTGGAAGCAAATGGTGGAGGAAAGCAACTGGGAACATGGCATCAGGAAGGAGAGGCAGAGCACTCTCATGATCACAAAATATATATCCAAAGACGAGCCTCCAGTCACAACCTACCTGCCTACAGTTACCACCCTGTTAATCCCTATCTGGGATCATTGCACTGATTATGTTAAGCCTCTCATAACCTAATTGAGTCATCTCTAAACTTTCTTGCATTGTCTCACACATGAGCTTTGGGAGGCATATGAAACCATAACAGTTTTCTAGAAAGTGTGATAGGCAGGTAGTATTGGGGGTCAAGTCCTTGCTGTTAATTTTTGCTAATTAGTAGGAGAAATATGTTTACCTAGGTTAATGTGATAAGCAGATGACTATGAGAGCACAGAGAAGGTAAGAATAAATTCTTTAAATAAGAAGTAGAGAAGACTTTCTATAAATGACATTTCTCTTAGGCTTTGAAGAATGATGTTAAACGTTTCCAAGTAAAAAAGAAAGCTGTTGTAATGATTTGTTCTTGTACACAGAATTCTGTGTCACTGTTGATTTTTATCTTGCATTAATTTATGAATATATATTCATTCCACATTTATTTATTAGCATTTATTCTGTGTCAGACCATCTTCTTCTCTTTCACTCAACCATGAATTCTAGGGCAGGCAACTTACCACTCTAGTTATTATATCATCATTCTACAGTTTAGTGTCTTAAATAGTAGGTATACCATCAATATTGTTGGATGTTAAGAAAGTCATTCCTTTTGTGTTTCTCAGAAAGTTAAGTTGTTTCTTACATGGAATCAAGATTATTAAGGAAAATATGGTCAAAGAGGGATTTTGTCCTCAATTTCCTTGAGGTATAATTTATACCTAATAAAATTTACCTATTTATGAAGAACAATTCAATGAGCTTTTGGTAATTATAGTCATGCAGTTGGGTAGCAGGTTTTTTAGACCTACGTCTTAACACTGTATTTTTACTGTATTGAATAAAAGTCTTAGCCTTTTCTGTTTTCTTAGGTGTATTTCTGTATTGCTATCAACTTTGTGGAAATAGGGAAGAAAGGTAGCTTTTTCCTCCTTTTTATTTGTGAGTTGTGATTCACTTTTCCATTCTTACATTACACAAAATTGCAGTTGTAGAAGTTATGTAGTAAATACAGATGAGTCAAAGAGGCAGTATAAATGCTTTTTTTTTTTTTTTTCCAAAGATAGGGGAATTCTAAATCATAACTGGATTCAAACAACTAAAAATTTAATTAGGAACATTTGTAGATATTTGGTTCAAGTTATAGATAGATGTGGAAGCCATCAAAAGACCCTAAAGTATAATTTTTCTCTCCCCTTATCAAAGAATAAATAAAAACAGTATACTTATTTGAAGAGAAAAAACTTTAAAATGTCATTAAAAAAATAACTTATTTTGAACTGAGCCTGGTGGTACACACTTGTAATCCCAGTGACTTAGGAGGTTGAGGCTAGAGGATTCCAAGTTGGAGGCCAGCGCATCAATTTAGAGAGACCTAGTCTAAAAATAAAAAGGCTGGAGGTATATTTCACTGGTAGAGCACTCTGGGGTTCAATCCCCAGTAAACCTGCCTCCTAGTCTTGGACTCATTCCTCTAAGGAAACAATTATTTATATATTTTTTTGCACACAATTTCAGGGCTTCCCAACCCCCTGATCTCTCTAAAAACTTTATTTTTGTGATAATATCTTAAATTCATAAATCTCCAAATAATAGTTACCCCAGCTTGAAGAAATGATATTTGAAATCTTCTGAGGCTGTTTTCTGGGGATTATATTTAGCCAGAACATTTCTATTCTTTTACATACAGGCTTTACTGATGTGAGTAGCCATTTACCTAGTTTGTTGGCTGCTGCTTTTCAAACTTTAACTTGTGTAAGAACCACTGAAAAACTTGTTAAGGCAGTTTCCTGGATCCCACTGCCAGAGATTAATTCAGTAGGTTTGTGAAGAGCCTAAGATTTTGCATTTCTAAATAAACTCTCAGGTGATGGTGATACTGTTGTCTGTGACTTTCAGATATAGTGTGCTAAACTACTACTGGTTTTCTAGTACAGAAAGCTTTCCTTATTGACTACAATGTTTGGTTAGTGGTTTTTTGTTCTGTGATTAGAGGAAGCATTAAGTTATGAGTTCTGCTTTTTTTCTTAAACCTCTACTAACAATTACAAAGAACTGTCTAGATGTTTGAATTTACAGATGGTAAACAGTAATATTTAGCTCAAATAGTGTGTACTTTCTAGATCAATTGAATTCTGTTCCCCTCCCTCTATACCAGCATGTTAAGATTATTAAAAAGTTATTTTCAAAAAGTTGATTTCTAATGATAATTCAGATTGTAGCAAAATTAGTTTGTTAATAAAAATTTAGAATTGTTTTAAATGCATAATAAATGAAAAATTTAGTTTGTTTTTTAACTCTTTGAGCATTTCCTTTTTACATAATGGTGAGGTATTGATCATCTAAGTATATGCTTAGGGAAAAAAGTATGTGTCATTAGGAATTAAAAGCAAAATGGAATATCAGATCAAATGTTGAATTAAACAGAGTTAATGGTTCAGTATTTATACTGTAGTCTTTTAAAAACTAGAAACTTAAGTACAGACTTGAAATATGTTTATAAATTAATTAATTATTATTATGAAATAATAGAACTCTATATACTAAAATTATTAAAATGTCTTCTGTCTCTCCAGCTTTCACAGTAGTCGTCCAAGTAAAAGGTTTTGTATATTTAAGGAGCATTCTGAAGATCTCAGGTAACTAGTTGATTTTTTTTAATTCTTTCTACTAAACAATGGTCATAATTTACATTCTTTCTTGCATAACAAATTTATTGAGATATAATTCACATGCTGTACAATATGCATTTAACAATAAAATTAATAGGTTATGGTATTGTGCTATATTATTCTATACAGTATAGTATAGCATCCAAACCTATAATAGGTTATAGTATTATACTGTACTGCTGCTGTACAGCAATGACCACAGTTAATTTTAGTACATATTGGTCATTCCAAACAGAAACCCTTTCCCCATTCATTAGTGGTTATCCCCATTTCTTTTCAACTCTCCCCATTACTAAGCAATCATGAATCTACTTTGTGCCTATGTAGATTAGTTCATTCTAGATATTTTCTACAAATGGAATGATAGACTGTGTATGTAGTCTTTTCCAACTGCCTATGAAAGGTTTATGTATATTGTAGCATGCATGTATCAATGCTTCATTTTTCAAAGTGCTGAATGATATTCCATATTATGAATATGTCATAGTTTAGCCATTCATTCAGTTCATTTTCACTTTAGGTTGTTATAATGCTACTGTGAACATTTACATATTAGTTTTTATAAGGACATGTCTTTTTATTTTTCTTTAGTATATACTTAACATTGAATTTGCTGGATTTTATGGTACATTGATCCTTTTGAGGAACTGCTAAATTGCTTTTCAAAGTAGCCTCATTATTTACATTCCCACCAGCAGTGTATGAGGGTTCTAGTTTCTTCACATCTTTTGTAACATTCGGTATTATATCTTTTTTTGTTATAGTCATCCTAGTTGCTAGGAAGTGCTGTATCATTGTGGTTTGCACTTTTAAATTAAACTGTCTGGGAGTGCCAGTTTGGAAATCTGAGTGATTCCTAATGGATATTACATTGTTCCTTATAAGACCTGAGATATGCCAGTGATCTCTTGATAAATTTATTTCATTGGTGACAAATGGTGTCAAGACGAAATTCTCATGCATTTGCATTGTAAAATGAAAGGAAAAATCAGGCCCACCAACAATATTTGAATATCAAAAAGTTACTTAAGATACCTATTAAAGTGGCGCTGTTAATTTTTGAAGCACATATATGAAACCACTGAAATTCTTGAAATCAGTATTCTTCATAATTCTTTTTTGTTTGTTTGTTTCTTTTTCAAATAGAAGTATACAGCTTAGCTTCTGTAAAGAAACTATGGATGAATGTTGATAATTAGCATTGGTTATACCACACACTGAATTCAAAATCCACTGAGCACCATTTTTTAAAATTCTGATTTCCTTAGTTTCTTTTTCTTTGTTTATTTTCTGCTTATGTTGCTATTCTCCTTGAAATAACAATATCTTTGTTCCACCAAACTAATTTATTGATAAGTTTAGCCAAAGACTTGTTTGATGCTTTGGGTTCATGGAAAAGGAGGAAGAGGGAATGGCATTATGTCTTAGGATCTTTGTGTTTATTATCTCCTATGCGTAGTTTACTCTTTCCCAGATATTGTATGGTTAGTCCTTTATCTCCACTCTGACAGTGATCCTTTCCTTAATCACTGCATTTGAAATTGTATCCACTCCCCCATGCTTCACTCTAGCACTTTTACCTCCTTTTAATATTTTTTTTTCATAGTGCATTTGCAATACTGTATATTTTACTTTTTGCTTGTCTGTGGTCTGTGTTCTCTTACTACATTCTATGTGGCTTGTGGGGTTTTTTTTTTTGTTGTTGTTGTTCATTTGTTTTTGTTTTGTTTAAGCCTAGCATATAGTAGGCATTCAGTAAATATTTGTTGAATAAATTAATGTATATGGAAAAAATTATGTATTTGGACAAAAGGTCCCATTTATGATGCTGAGCCAGTAGCTCACAGGAAGATAAAAAATAATGGTTCAATATTAAAACTCTTAGTCTCATTAGAGTGTTTATTGTATTCAGAGAAATTGATTGTTACTTGAGGTACTGCCTTAATAAAGACTTTTATAAGAATGAATAGGATTTATTGCATTTTAAAAATCAGATTTTAATTTGATTTTTACCTCATTATTATCTAGCTCAGTTGTGTGTTAGTTTTTTAAACGAATTATCTGATTTTTTAAAGGTCTGGAGTGTTTTTCTCTCAACTTCCATATGTCTCACATTGAAATTGGTCAATTTCTGTGAGTGGAACTTAGCATATTTATAAAATTCCATATCCCCCAATCTTTGTAATTACTTATTGAAATGGAATATTTTTTATTGTGTATATTATGTGTATTATGCATTTATCATGTATGTATTGTAGCAGGTCCTGTGTAGATGATAGGGATAAAGCAATCTTGGAACTAGCCTTCAGGGAATGTAGTTCATTAGGTGGGAAATAAAGTATGAACAGAAGTAACTATGGATTTTAATAAGTGCAATAAGTTATTTCAGAGAAGTGAGAGATTACTTGGAATAATCTGGATAGGAATTAGGTTTACTTTGTTTTTAAGGATGAGTTTTGTTTGTTTGTTTGTTTTTTACTGGCAGAAGAAGCAGAGGGATCTTCTAGTTGGAGAAAATAGCACAAAAGTATAGAAATGAAAAAGAGAAGGCATACAGAAAGAATGGCTAGTAGTAAATGGATGGAACATGATGTTTGTGTGATAGTAATGGATTAAAGTCTGTAGCAACAATTTTGAGCTTACAATCATATTGGAATGCATTGAAAATTAAACTTAGGAAATTTGGACTTAATTCAGAAGGCACTGGAGAACCATTAGTGTTTTGTGTAGAATGAAGTGATACTGAAGGAAAGTTGAATTCAGGGACATAAAAGGTGAGTTGTAGGTGCATAAATCATTTAGATTAGGGATCTGAATTAAGGTGGTGAGGTAGTATTACATTGTATTTATGATGTAATATGGGCTCTGGAATCAACGTGCATAATTTTACACCTGATTTTGACCTTTACCAGCTCTATGTCCTTGGTAGGTTACTAAGCTAACTCTGTACTGTATAAAAGGGTAATAATTATAACACTTAACTCTTCAGGTTTTTGTAAGATTTAGATGAGATGATATGTTTAAAAGCAGCCTGGCACAGAGTAAGTACTCAATAAGTTGTTAATATTATAAAATGCTTGACATATTAAATGTTTTAAGAAAGGAGAAAGTCATAGGTAACTATGGTTTGAGCTTTAGTGTCAAGTGAAATGGGACCATAAGAAAGTCAGGAGGAGATGATTTTAGATTTGATGTGCCAGTGAATTCTCTCAGTGCACATATGTAGCATGCTGTTAGAATAGAACTTAAGGGGGGAGAAATCAGTCTGAAGTATCCTGTTTGTTTGTATTCATATACTGGTAAAACATATATATTATGTAATGAACATCAAATATATGAACATTGAATGTATATACTTTGTATTAAACTGATAATAACAGTGATCAGTTAAATGATCAGTTTTTTTCACCTAAACAAAATTTAGGTGAAACTTTGATTTATTAGCGAGATTCCAAAGACTCTTATAGAACCCTAAGTAAAGGAGCAACAGCCAGAGCAAATAAGGAAAACAAAAAGTCATCAAGAACTTACTGTAGTTCTCTCTGTTTTGACCTGCTAAGGCAGCATAATGCTGTCTTTATTTTCTCTGGACTTGGGTTTCTTTCTGCTTTCTCTGTACAGACCATCTTTTCTCTACTAATGACCCAACTATAATATTCCCAGACTCACATATTTTCCCAAATCAAGAAATTTGATTATAAATTCCAATTACAAATCCCTGTTTAAAAACAGCCATCCCTTTTTAAATTATCTATATCCAGTAGAATAGGCAGTAGCCTGGCTTCTTTACCAGTGAAACTCTTTTTAGTATCTATGAGGGCAGTTTGTTCATAGAAAAAATTGTAGTTAGTTATTTAAGCTAAGTATTTTACATTTTAACTTTCTTTAAGCTTTTAAGTCTAACTTAGAAATACTCCATTTAGAATTTGAGTACTTTTTAGTAATCATTTTCTAGAGGAACTTTAATTTAATGTAAGATGAAGTTCATTTAAATTGAACGGACTGAATTTTTTTCAACAGTGACATTTAAGTTCAAATTACTTTAAACAATTTAGTGTCATTTATCCATTAAATATACTTGATTTTCTTTTAAACGGCACTTCAAATGCTTGACCCAACTAGCACCCAATTGCTTAACTTTTTAATAAATCTAATAAGTTCAATTATATAGTGGCTTTCTAAGTTCTCTGAACCATCTCAAAATTTTTACAGTCTTAATAATATTTAAGATACTTTTCAACTAAAAGTCACAAGATCAAACACATTTTAAATATGAATCTTAAGGCATTGACACATAACTTTAATATACCAGTTATGTTTAAATACTTCAGATAGCAAATGTTATTCAGTTTAATTCAGTGAGTATAAGAACTATTCTGGACTCAGCAAAAGTTTTTCATGATTTTGGGACTTGTTTCCTAACTTCCTTTGAAAGTCCTTAATCATTACATGTGTTATTTAAGAATCAAGAACATACTGGAGTTCTCCCTGCTTTGACCTGCTAAGGCAGCATGATGCTGTCTTTATTTTCTCTGGACTTGGGTTTCTTTCTCCTTCCTCTGTACAGCACTCACGAATTTTGTTAAAAAGAATGAGTAGTATAGGCCCCATCAGGTAGGCAATAGCATTCACAGTGCTGGGATGATGAGGATTCCAAATTTGTGGACTCCAACATTTTTATTAACTACATCAGTTAATTCCATGTTAAATAATAACCACCCTTGGAAGATCATGCTAAAACCTTGGCATGTAGTGGCAGGTATCATACTATACTTCTAAATACTTTATAATTTTCTTCTAATTTTGTCCTCAACTAAATAAAACACTAGATTATAAATTTCATTCAAGTACTGACTGGCTTTTGTTGTTGTTGTTGTTGTTCATAATAACAGTGATACAATTGTATAAAGACAACCTCAGTAAATATATATTGAGTGAATGAATGCTATTCTCACTTTGCATATGGGCAGAGGAACAAATAGAATGTGACTCGCCTATATTAATGCAAATTGTTAATGGAACCTAGACTGGTTGTAGGTCTTTTGACTGGTACAAAAGATAAATATTTATAAAACATAAATACTCTATGTAAATAAGTAGTAGCAAAATTTGGACATAGCTGTACCATTTTATAGAGAATCATTTCAGTTACATCAAATTTATATAACAAATAGCAAGTTACATTTATTACACAAAAAGATAATTCGTGGAAAAATAATCATTGAACTTGTATATAGATTTAACAACAGATAAAAACTTTTCTTTTATGCTATTTTTTTTTAATAGGGGCATTACTCTAGTGTGCCTTAATTGTGATTTCCTAACTGATGTTTCTGGCTTAGATAATATGGCTGCACACTTAAGTCAACATGAAACCCATACTTGCCAAGTTGTAGTAGAGAAAGGTACGTATATATAACTGTGCTCTTGTGGATTTTGATATTTATTCCATTATTTTTGGTCAACCACAATATGAACTCTTTACTAAATCGTTACTCTCATCATAGTTCATATGCTGTTGTAAATATAAAACTTTTCTTCTAATTTCAGTTTCTGTCTGTATCCCAACTTCTGAACATCTTTCTGAGTAAGTTTAATTTTTTTTCAGTGCATTATACTTTGATGGATTTTAGCACTTACTGCATTTTTAAGTGTATCATTAATAGCAATGAAAAATATTTTTTAAAAAATGTTTTTTAAACCTGCTTGTTGAAATAGGTTCCTGCTCTGTGGAGCTCGTGACCTGGTGCAAGACAAGTTGGAATTTCCTAAGTTCAAAGTTCTGAGATATTTTCTTACACAAAGCCAGTCAAGCAGCCAAGTTTATGACACTAGCTTTCATTATTCAGCTCTGTTCAGCTTGTAAATGGGTTCAGATTCCTGTTCTACTTTATCTTTGTGTCAAGTTGACATATCTTAACATACATTTTTTTTTTCTCTCCAGTTGGTTTTCTCTAAAAATAACTTATTGCTATGGTCTTTTCTTACTTTGCTTAAAATAATTTGTGTTTTTCTCTACTGCACTTGCTTTCAGAGTAATACATTCCAAGTGATATGGTTGTTTGTCTTTTCTTCTGTTTTGTCTGCTTCTTAATTTCATGTCTTAAGTTTTTGGACCAGATGATTGTCCTTTTCCTCATTTGTTGTCTGTCATTGCGCTATTTTTTTTTTTTCAGGTGCAGAAGCAGCCCAGAGATTTCAAAAAATATCCAGGGTACACCTGGACAGTGTCCCCCTTCGATGGACACAACTGATGACTGTTCTCTCTTTCCAAGGAATGTGAATAATTTGACTGTGGGACCTGCTCTAGGTTGTGGCCTCAAGAAATCATATCTTGGGGAAACTCCCTTCCTGCATGACTGGCCTCTTGTAAGGCTGATGTTGATTTGGCCAGAGATGGCCTCGGGGCCCACCAAATTGAGCATACTTCCCACTGGCAGCTTTGGCTCTCCATCTTAATAAGCTCACGGGCCAATTATAACTAAGAAAAAACCTATCAAATCAATGGTTCAGCATACAAATTAAAGTTTAGTCATTTTGGCTGCTACCCATAAATCTTCCTCTATCCTGAATGCAATCCAAGAAATATAAAAAAATCTAGTTGTTAGGAAATCATGACTATTTTTCATGTCCTTGGAACAATAGGTCTCTATAATTATGATTCAAATCATAGTTATTTTTACTGTTATTTAAAATTTATCACCCAGTATTAACTCTGAAATTTTCTCAACAATACCAATTCTCAGATTTTTTTATTTTTAAAAAATTTAGTTTAATTTTAATAGCTTGATTTTATGTTCTCTAAATTTAGTGATATCTACTTTATGATATCTATTTTTTTATTCTTTTCTTTAAAACTTATTCAGTGTTTATGTTTTTAAGAACACCAGGAGATTCCTTAAGAATTCTCTTCAGATTTCACATAACTACCTGTTGATAGCTTTATAGTATGGCTGTTCTCAGGCAGTTATGATATCTTCTGTCTTGTTTCAGGATTATTATGTATATTACCTCAATAATTTTGGCTTTGAAGGTGTTAAAAATTGGTAAAGCTTTCAGATCTTAAAAACAAGTTTTAAAGTAACATATTTGTATATCTAATCTGTAATTTAATAAAAATTTTTTTGTTTAAATGTCTCATTCTTTGCTAGTAAACAATTTCTTATAAAAACTGTTTTATCCTATTGCTTTAATTGTTATATGGAAGCGTTGTTATGTGGCATGCAAACCTAAGAGCTAGTGCATCTTGCATTTTTTCCTCTAGCATAATTAAATTTCATTATACTATACTAATTTCTTGAATTTTATTTTTTTAATTTTTAATTTTTTTTAAATTTTAATACTTATTTGTTAGTTTTTGGTGGACACAACATCTTTGTTTGTATGTGGTGCTGAGGATCGAACCTGGGCCGCACACATGCCAGGCGAGCGCGCTACAGCTTGAGCCACATCCCCAGCCCAATTTCTTGAATTTTAAAGACTAGCAAAGTGCCTTTTATGCCTTAATAGCCATAAGGATCATCAGACTCTGAAATTATAACTCAGGTGTGGTTTCTTTTATTCTAAAATCAGAGATAAAGCCAGTTTAGATGACTGCTTATTTTGTAATGTTTACCTTATGAGTATTAATCAAAAAAATTAAATCCTGTTAGCTTTAATTATCTGGACAAATTTATAATGTAAATGAAGGATATTCCAGAATGTCCAAAGATGACTTGTTTCTTAGTATTGGACTTAGTAATATATTATTCTTTATTTCCTTATCTGGCTCCCTGAAGTTTTATCATCTTCCTTCTTTCTACCCAATTTTTAAAAATTTTGCCCAGAAACAACAGTTTATTTCCACTTTTAACATTAGTTCTTTATATGTTTATAGAATAGAAAATTTGCTTTTCCTTGATTGTAATTAAAAAATATGATATAGCAATATATGAGTACTATTTTATAATTTTTCTGAGACTTAATTTTTTGTAGTATCAAGTTCATTTCCTTGAAGTATAAACTATATTATCACCTGTAACTTCATTTTTTAAAAATTGGTTTGACTAAAGCAGGACAAAGCTTGCTAATTATTATAGGTAATTAGTTGAATTTGTGTGATACTAATAGGTTTTAGCTTAAGCCTGATCTTTCTTTACCATCAAGTTATTCTAAATAGTTTATTTGCCTCATCAAAAATAGCCATGTCACATGTTTATGCTTTTTGATTACTGTTGAATAGGTCTAATTTTTAGTTTGAGTCTATTGTCATTCTTAGAAAATGACTCTTAAGCTATAGAAACTTGGATTCTTGCCTTATTGTCACATTTTGGCAAAACATCTTGCCTATATTTTAGATGATGGTCAATACTTTGAAGAAGAATGAAGTAGGGAAGAGAAATACAGGAATATGGGGTAAAAATCAGGAGACCACCATTTTAAATCTGGTATCAGGGAAAACTTCACAGAGACATGACATTTTGAGTAGAGGTGTGAAGGAGGTTATATGGATATCACTTGGATATCAAAAGAGCATTTCTGGGAGGAAAAAACCTTCAACATGGGATAATTCTGAGTTAAGGAACTGTTAGGAGACTAGTTTGGCTGCAGTGGAGGGAAGAAGAAGGAGACTAGTAGGAGATAGGCCTGTGAGATAATGTGGACCATGTGGTATATGAACTTAAAGACCATTGTAAAAACTTTGGGTTTTACTTTTAAATGAGAAGCCATTAGTGAATTTTGAATAGAGGATACCTCAATAAAACTCCAAATAAATAAATATCTAAATGTAAGAATACTGTATCCCATTATGTGCTTTCTTGATAATAGTCCTAAGATACCAAGGGCAAAATCAGGGAGATTACTTAAGGGGTTATTTTAATAACACAAGTGGGAGCTGATGGTCGCTTGGGTAGGTGTTAAGTGACTCCTTTTTGGATGTGTTTTGAATTTTTTGGTAATTTAGATACGAAGTGTGAACTAACATGTGAGGATGATTCATAGTTAATATTCTGAGCAGCTGAAAAGATAGCATTGTTATCAACTGAGATGCAGAAGACTCAAGAGGAATAGGTTTGGGAGTGAAGAAGAGGATTTTAGTTTGAGACATGTTTTAGTTTTGAGATACTTATTTGATAGCTAAGTGGAGATGTCATAATCCTTTATGAATTTAAGGGTAAGTTTTAGGCTATAAGTATCATTTAATATTTTTAAATGTCATAAGAATGGATACAAGTGAGACTGGGGGATTCTAAAAAGATCAATGTATTGTTAATCATTGTCAATATCCTGGTTGTGATATTGAACTATAGTTTACAAGATGCTATCATTGAGGGAAACTGAGCAAAGTGTACTTGAGATTGCTCTGTATTGTTTCTTATAACCTTATGACCATGTGTGAATCTACAGTTGTTCCAGCATGAAAAAGTTCAATTTTAAAAAATTCATGGAAGTATATGAGCTCATCAAGGGATAACAGTGGAAATAGAAAAAGGGCAAGGTCCACAGGTGAGCTCTGAGGACTCTGATAATAAAAGGTTAGAGAGATAAGGAATGTACAAAGGAAATTAAAGAAGGTATGGACAGAGATGTGGGAAGAAAATCATGAGTATGGTGATGCCCTATTTGTAAATGCAGTTACTAAGTTTTAGAGGTCTAGGGATCTGTTTTTCAATACTGGTTATGACTAAGTTTCATAGTTTATTCTTATGAATTCACATATCTACCTCAGTAACAGAAACAGGAATTCTTGATCTTGAGAAAATTTAATATCCATCTTACTCTTAGGCACATTCAACTCTGTATGTGTACTCTTATAAAAATAACCCTCTTGTATTTTTATAAAAGAAGGTAATTGTGTCATTATTTCTCCTGTTCTGTACTGTAAAATTAATGCCTGTAATTTATACATAATTTTGGGAAAACTGTTTCTGTGGTCAAAATTCAGGTTAAAATTAAAATTCTTTAAATTAAATTTAATGTGGGATTTACCATGTTATATTTGGCCTGTGAGTGTACAAAGAGTATTTATTCAGCCTTTGAATTTTTTTCCCTTCTATCATTACTAATTTCATGACAATCTCCATAGAATGGGCTATAGAATAATGATTAGATTTATCATTCTGATTTTTCTATTGGAAAATATAAATGTAGTGTTGAATAAGGACTCCTAGAAATTTCATTCATGTTCCTGGATCATTTATAAGGTAGAGTGCATAATTAGATGCAAGCAAGTACATTTTCACATTTTTAGAAATTTTATCTGGAAAAAATGGTTTCCTCGTTATTACATTTATAAAGTCTAAGAAATATATAACAGTGCAGAGCCTCTTCTGATTATAGCAGCAAGGGATATTTTTGATGAAGAGTACGGTTGCCTAACATGGCTTCACTGAGATGCTTAAGAGTTTCTCATAATTATGTCTAGTTTCTCTCTAACTTCTTGTACCTAGCTTTTGCAGAGACTGTTAATATTTCCAGCATTTGTAATATCTATTAAGATTCTTGAATTTTTTTTCTCATTTTGTTAAATTTAATTGCCTTTCTTAATGAGATCAAGGGGTCTTTCTTGATGATAAGATTTGAACATTTGATACCCAGATTTGATAG